AGTTTGGAATTACAACATGAATATGTGTTGAAGGATGAATTTTCAAATTTCAGAATAAATCTAACTTTCTTTACTTAAAATGATATGAATCAATTTCATGAATTTGTAGTCATTTCCTAGAGCGACTTTGGAACATCATTCGGAGTCATTATTCTGATCTTAACGCGTGACCCGGTAGTATTTTATCTGGTAATGTACGCGCTCTATTTCAGAAATAATTAATGACGGTTCGATATGCACTTACACTTTCACAAAAAAATCTACATAGCTGAAGATGAGAGTGAATATATCTATCCTTTGATCATCCTCATCAATTTCAAGGATTGCACAAGATTACAATCTGAGGTCACCGGAACACCGGAACACTTTCCAGGTTAACCGAAAGTTGGGCTTGACATTCATGTCGAGTTATGACCTACAGCGTTAGACCGGTCTCAGGAAAAGCTTCTGAAAGCTTCTTGATAATGAGTCTAAATTATTTATCTAAATGTTACAAAGAGGCCACCTGTCCAAGGCCCGCAATTGCAGCATTACGATGCTATATGTCAGCTGATACCGAAGCTAGATTTTCAAGAGCACCTATTACTAACTCTTCAAACCCAACATGTACATCTATTGTATAGTATCCTCTCATGTTACCATAGCGTCATGAGTATGCACTAGTGTGTAGATACGGGTGCATTTTAAATGTCAGTTATGATTATCATAATGTTACAGAGTGCATAGGCATTTTCAGCAAGTCAGATTCATATGATTCAAACGCAGCTCTAATTGACGAGATACTCACACAGTATGATACTGCTAAATATATAAATGATCTTGATCAACATGTAATTTAATTCCTACAGGTTATTCTCCACGTACCTGTACAGAGACAATTGCAAGGCACTAATTAGTACTTAGACATAGGGGACGGAGGGGTAGCCTAGTGGTTAAAGCCTTCGCTCGTCACGCCGAAGACCCAGGTTCGATTCTCAAAATGTTTTTGATGTGTAAAGCCATGTCTTGTAGTACCCCGTGGTAATGTTCTGAAATACTGCTAAAAAGTCAAAAGGCCATACTCACTCACTCCGGACATAGGCCTAACATATGACAGCCGAATACTAGGTAGGATCTTCGCCCATGAGCTCTGTCTCAAATTATTTTGAAAAATATTATAACCCTGGCTAGAAGTATCAATAACCTCTTAATGTTGAGTTGTAGCCAGAATTAGAGTAAGGGCCAGATTGTCCTAACCCAGACAAGCAGTGGCAACGGGGAAAGTGTACGAACGCCGTAGTTCTTTAACCAAACACAATGGTCGACCATCGTGAAGTGAATGTAGCAAATAGTGCGCTTGTCTCCTCAGCTACCGATGTAGTCTCCCATCTACACAATCGCCAGGAACATCAATAACGCACTGGAGCTGAACTACGATTATCTTGGTCTTATGTATTGAGCTTTGACGAGAATGGAGATCCCCGTAGATTGTTGTTAACGTGATCCTGTGGAATTTAGTGGACAAGCACTGGCACGTGGCAGATAATCCCCGCAGTCCATCATCTCCCAAGGATGATCATTTACGTCCGCAAGTTAATTTCTATACATGCTTGAAGTGACCATCCATTTGTTCCAGGAGAACATTGGTTGTCGAGCCATAGACGTTGATGAAAGAATAGAGTGTGGTCGTTCATTCTGACAGGATTAGCCAATATGGGATCAAGTAAATTGAGTGGGATTTCTTGATGGCAGTACATGTTGTATCATACAAGGATGGAACAACATCGACGGTTGATAGCCAGGAATCTATTTTTTAAACAAAGATGGTTTGTCGTCATCTCCAAATGAAATCCGTCAGGGAAACTGCTTAGTATCAGAGTTGAGACAGGATAGGCTATTGAATGGAAAGCAGTCCCGATCGACCTGGTTCTGAATGGAGGGGTATCTGAAAGCAATACAACTGTAGACACCGATGTAGGTTGTTTGGAGTTCCGTGTCGTCAGTCTGGATATATGATGTCATTTTAGGTGACAAATTAGGAATATACAAAGTGACCGTCAGAATCTGGGACATGACTTTCCAAAGACAAGAGTTAAATTACCGAGTTAACAATGACCCCTTCCCCTCCGCATTGTTGCTGGTGAGTGAATGAGTTTAGTTTTACGCCGCTTTTAGCAATATGCCAGCAATTTCACTGCGGGGGACACCACTATTGATAACTTGATATGCAACAACGTTATTGTCCTTGGCTGGCATGTGTTTATACCCATCCAGAAACTATTCCTAAATGTACGCAGACCAATCATTAGAAGAACCTATTCAACATCCTCGCACTTTTCCATCTATCTGCTGAATTCAGGACTTTGTCTTTATATCATACACCACAATACAAATGTGACATCGATGCACATAGATTCCTACTCACGTTCTCGGAGTGAAGCACACAAAGTCAGCTATCTAACTTAGGCTTCTATAAAAATGAAATCGTAATTGTGTAAATTGTACTTGATAAATTTGCACGGCTGCCATTGCCAAAACCTAATTACACACAAAGACTTTTTAGAAACTGGTCAGTTTAAACCAATGCTGTATAGCAAACAAAACTAGGATATTCGTACTTTACTAAGAACGTGGTTGACCAAAATTAGCCTGTGTATATGTGACCACTCCCTGAACGGCGCTGTGTATTATAAACCCTTAATTTGATATACATTGCGCAAATCCTAAATGTTTAATTATCTCCCTTGTTATTGTCGAAACTGTTTTGGGGCTTCAGTGGACCCTACAACAGATATCTCCTCCTACACAAGGAGTGTAGGACTCCTTGACTCCTAACTGTCCACATCACATCCATGACTGGCGGACATTCATACAACGATTAACGCAACACCAGGTTATATACTCACATAGGTTTACTTTGCCTCAGTCCATCTCTCTTACTACAACTTCAACATAAGACCGGGAAGGCTCATCCCACAGTGGGAAACTAAGTGAAGGGCGATTCACCTCGGTCCATTGGAAAGCCTGCACGGCATTGCTAGTGTTGTTAAGGTGTTTGAGTCCACCCTTGTCACATGTCTCAAAACATCCTTCTTATTCGTTCAAAGTTATATCATTCCTTGGTCTCATGTCTTGCCTCGTGATCGGCGAATTACTGCAAACTACTCACCGGTGATTCACCGTTAACTAATACTTTAAGAGTCTTATACATGCACTTGCTCATGATTATTATGCTATTATCTCTTGATTTATTACTAAGCAGCGATAGCATCCATTATAGCTAAAACACATGGAACTATCATGAAACGGCCCTCCTATTATCAGACATTTGCGGGCCGCTGCAAATGATATTGAACCGCTCAACCTCAACGACGGGCCACTATCAGTTCTGTTGTCAAGTGACGTCATAGTGGGTGCGTCGGTTCATTCGACATTGGCTTTGGACTGGCAGATATTCTGGGTCAAACAAGTCAAAGCAACCCGAATTCCCGCTTTAAATAGATGTAATATTGGCTTTCTTGCTGATGCTAACCTTAACAATTGCGCTATTAACGTTGTTGTTGGACCAAAACCGAACACTGACATAGTTTGACATGTTGCAGACTATGGTCTTGTTAAAGGCCAAGGTCGAATATCGTCACTTACTGTTGTGACGTCACTTGAATTGTTCGATGACGTAATTGCATTCGGGCAGTCAACCCCGTCAGAAGTTGGTTTTGAGTAAACTTACAGTCAAATTCCTTCATTGTTTCCTTTTTCTTTTCAACACAAATTCCATGTATACTCATGCCAATAATGGTTGTCATTCCCCTCCCCACCCCAACCCCACACACACCTCACACACCCACCCCACACACCCTCTCCAATTAAAAACATTGAAGGGGGTGACAACCATTATTGGCATGAGTATATTTTAGCAATAATAACGGTAATGCTATTTTTTGAGGGCATTATCATTTGCAGAAGCCCTCGGTCTTTTTCAACTGCCCTCCTTCGTCGGGCAGTTAATGGAATATCGGGCTTCTGCAAATGATAATGCCCTCAAAAATAGCATTACCCTTATATTATGTCGCGAAATAACCGCAATTCTTAACAATGGCTTTGTTATAGAGATGCATTTTTAACGTCATGACATTATCATCCTTGCTGTGTCAATACTGCGTCTCTTTGGAAGCCTTCGTATATTTTTAAATGTATAATCAGGCCAACAAGGTTGTAATACACAGTGCATATGACACTAACCTGATCTTCCTACTTCACTATGCGGGACGAGGCCAGATTGTGGAACACACCTGGTACGCTGAACAAATTACACGGCAAATTATATGGTTGATACGATCATTTGCAGAAACGCTAACACGATCCGTAATCAGTAAATGTGTTACACACTTGTGCATATTTCCATAGGAGATATGAAGCTGTCAGCCTGCCGATGATGGAACGTTTTGTAATATCATAACGACATCGGCAGAGGGAGCCTATTATAAAACACTTAGACGCCGAAACTGACGTTTCATTAAGTGCGCGAAGTTCTTTGCGAGCCACTGCATTAATAATCGTTTCTGCAGACGCTGTATTTGATGTCTGAAAGATTTACACCCCCTGCTCATGCTGCACATGTCACAAAAATTCAAGTAGATAAATTGAAACTGAACCCTGTTCTGGAGGCTGGCAGATGACAGCGACGCTCCATCATACGGTCTATAATTCAAGGTCGCTTGGGGCAGATGGGATGACATCCTGTATGTATTCTACGGATGTAAAGTTTTCATTGGAAATCTAAGGGTTAATGACATTGTGAAATACTTTGAAATAAACAACTCATTACTCTAGAAGCATATACGAAAATGCCACAGCGTCTTGATACTTGTTCGTAAAAGACGTAAAAGCATCTAGAACTTAAAGATATTCTATATGGATAAATCTGTATACTGTAAAATTATATCGTGTTTCTATAGGTTAGTACTAGCTTGTGGCAAGGTATGACAGATCAGCATAGTAATATGAAATATGTTTTCTTCAATCTTTTAGAGTAGTACAAGCGTGAACACCAGAGAATCACCAGTCTCGGTTTCCCACCTGCGTGAACGACAAACTAATGTTAAGTTAATGAATGGTCCCTGAACATCATTGATGACACCAAGTGTTCCACATATTGTTAATAACGTGGTAAAAAGGAATCACCGTGACTTTCTGTTGATATTTAACACCGCATCGTTGATGATGTGACTAGTCTTTACCAGCGGCACCGCTGCAGGGTTACTTCAGATATGTCATTCAAACACATAACACCAGACATTTCAATCTGCATCAGTAAACATGAACGTTAACCATACCACTAAAACCACCTTTACATATCATAATAATAATATTAATCTTATTACAAGTTGTAGGTTTTCATAGCAAAAGATACTTGATGACAGCCAATCTTAATAAACGAGTTGCCAACCAAAATGTTTTCGTTTTATTTTCGTACCAACTTCTGATGGTCAATCAAAGGCTACATTAATTCGATAGGAATAAAGATGAGCTGGGGCTCTATTTGAAGCTTGGATTTATGTTGCAGATATCGACATTCTGTGTCACAGAAGATGCTATCAGTTGTATGGCTGGGCATACCTACTGATTGTATTTCCAGAACGGGATGATGGACAAATAGATAGATTTTTATTTATACTACCGGTGCGGCGTCAGTCTGTTCCCAACAGAAAACAGTACACACACATCAACTTTTGTATGTCTGTCTAGACGGTCGTAACGAAAAGCCAATTTATTTCCGGTGTTACAGACGAAAACTGACAGTATCCTAGTGCATGTTTGGTATTGAGTTCACGCACTTGTTCAGTTGACTGCAATGGAGCGGCACTGGTATTTCAGTTTACATTCATATAGTGTAATCACTTTTTGTAATCCGATGACAGAAAAAATACCACATGTGTCTAAATTCATGAACCGGTTCGGCCAGACGTTTACCATTGCGCAGTATTTCTCGTTCTTTACGATTGTGAGACATTTCGGTGCTTCGTTTCGGTTTCGAGAATAAGTTCTATAATTAACATCGTTTTAGTCCGTGTCAGCTGCTCTTTACCTACCTTTCCCTTGTAATTTCATTTATTAACACCGCTTCCGTGTCCTGAAAACAACCCAAATGGCATTGAAAGAGAGTATTGGACACTCATGTAACTATTCAAGCTCCTGGAATGGATGGAACATCTGACGCCAGTCACACTCGGATACACTTATCAAATATATGCATTACATGTTGATGAATACGTCATTTTCCCCGATAATTATCAAACATATTCACAAAAAACTATCAACTTTTTAAATCCTTGCAAGCGTGTAGATATTAGCTAACGGACTTGAACGATACAGTGCATAAATTATAACACTGGACACGGATGTGCGATATCACCAACACACATCGCTAAAGCATATCGTTGCAGTAGACACAGATCTGTGATATCATGACACACATCGCTCAAGTAGAACATTGCAGTAGACACAGATCTGTGATATCCCCGACACACATCGCTCAAATATAACATTGCAGTATACACAGATCTGTGATATCATGACACACATCGCTCAAGTATAACATTGCAGTAGACACAGATCTGTGATATCACCAACACACATCGCTCAAGTATAACATTGCAGTAGACACAGATCTGTGATATCATGACACACATCGCTCAAGTATAACATTGCAGTAGACACAGATCTGTGATATCCCCGACACACATCGCTCAAATATAACATTGCAGTATACACAGATCTGTGATATCATGACACACATCGCTCAAGTATAACATTGCAGATATATCATGACACAGATCTGTGATATCATGACACACATCTCTCAAGTATAACATTGCAGTATACACAGATCTGTGATATCACCAACACACATCGCTCAAGTATAACATTGCAGTAGACACAGATGTGCGACATAACCGACACACATCGCTCAAGTATAACATTGCAGTAGACACAGATGTGAGATATCACCGACATGCATTGCTCAGGCATAACATTGCAGTAGACACAGATGTGAGATATCACCGACACACATCGCTCAAGCATAACATTGCAGGAGACAGAGCTCTGTGATATCACCGCCACACATCGCTCAAGCATAACATTGCAGGAGACAGAGCTCTGTGATATCACCGACACACATCGCTCAAGCATAACATTGCAGGAGACAGACATGTGTGATGTCATAGACATAATTTTCAGAAATATTCTGACATCAGTACGCGTGAACTATTAATATGTGCGACATTCTAGCTCAACTTTCGCAGAATTCCGTATTTGAGTTTATGTATCCAATTCCGTGTTAACAAGATAACTATCCATTTGCTCTAAACGATGTGCAGATATCAGATCAGGCAACCTCAGAACCGTGACACTACGGAATCCCCTCAGGTAAGACATGATATCGATGATACAACGCAACTGTTGATACTGAGATATGGACTGTGTTTATTGTACCAACACCTGTTCAACCATATATTCCCTACTGCTATCGATATCCATATAAGGTATTGCACACTATGTTTCATGTGAACCTGTTAGTTCTAGACTGTCAGGCATTGACACCAAAACGATAGTAATAAAAAATTTGATAGGCACTTTATCGCGCCATGATACATATTTACACAGCCTCTTCCTTCCGGCTTTTCTCGCAAAGTATGAAATCATTCCGCATGTTCTGTTCCGGCACTGACAGCTTGTATATTCGTCTAAAGCACGACGACAACAGAATCACAACATCTAACAGTGATACTTTGGGGCGTACATTATACCTCCAACGCAGGTTATCAATTACCTATATAAATGATAAAGTATAAAGCGATCGTCGGGTGCTAGCGGTAGGGCAGGACATACTTAGACTAACACCTGGTATCATCACTGATTTTCCGTCAACCATTCATATAACTTCCACAGCTCTTTTTCCCTTTATACCAAACGGAAATTGTATCTGGGGATAAGCGCTGATATTCTATCTTGCGTTTCGTCGCAGGTGTTTTAGTGGTACGTTGAGTGCATTAAGAGCGGAATATTCTGAAGCGTCGCCTGTCATTTAAGGCCTAGTAATATGTCAGTAGAAGGTGTTAGGGAAGTAGTTTTTGCTGTTTCTGTGTTACATCCGTCACAAGCTCAGTGGGCATCACGATGCGTGGGATGACAGTACATAGGAGCGTCTGTACACAACACAGAAATACCCACAACACAAAGCCTGGAGATTGGGTCTTGCCACGAAATTAGTTTCCGTCTGGCGTTATTTAATTTAAAAATATCTCCGATAGGTGTTTCTACCTCTTCAATTACGTCTATTCATGCAACAGAGCATCCCGCGCCTGTTGGATCTTGTCCGGGCTGTGGCCTCTGCTGTAAGCCTCGTGTCCATTGCTGACGATATTCACATGTATGCTCCACGATAGAGCTACCATCTGTCGCCGAGCTGTGTTATAGTGCAGCCATTGCAGCTTTGTGGTGATTATGAATGGTGCGGACACCGGGTGTCCTCATTAACTGATAGCGATGTATAACACATGGTTTTGATATATTGTCCAACTTGTACATCGGACTTCTTTGTTCTGGACAAGGTTTTGTAGTTTCCGCTATACAATTTACCCGTCAAGGTATTTTCATTGTCCATATAATGGGATGGGAAGGCCGACTTGAGGTGACCTTCACTGTGTCTCAGTCAAACATCACAGCAACATGAAACCACTCTGGGCTGCTTTGATAAGTTTTGTGGCGTGTACCGTTAGACGGATAATCAATCTGAAAAGCCACTTGGTCAATTTTGTCGTAATCAATATTTATTATCAGTTATCGATGAATACACAGCATTATCGTTACTTTGGGTATTGTGTATATATAACAATGCAAAACATAAATATAGGGGCCGGCAAGATACATACTCCCACGACCCTGACGTATCTGCAGGGCACACATCTCCTATCTCACACAAACATCTTGAACGTCTGGTGTGGACTTTCTGTTCTGAAGATGCTCCATCACCCTAACCGTCAATCAGTCCATATCTCCCCCACAAACAGTCTGACAGATACTCAATAGATAATCATGATCAGATACACAAGGGAACCCACAGAGATCATGATCGGTAAATACAGGAATATGTATTGGTCAGATGCATACAGGAATCTGCCAAGATAGTGATCATGTGACCTAGTATGATCTTCCCAGTATCGAGCGTGTACTTGAACATAATCTCCAACAGATCGAGTGTGTACCTGAATATGATCTCCCCATGATCACGTGTGTACCTGAACACGATCTCCCCAGTTCCGTGTTTGAACCTGAAAATGATTTCGCCCCAGTACCGTGCTTGAACCTGACAAGGATCTCCCCAGGATCGAGCGTGTACCTGAACATGATCTCCCCAGTATCGAGTGTCCACCTGAACATGATCTCCCCAGTATCGAGTGTGTACCTGAACATGATCTCCCCAGTATCCTGTGTGTACCTGAACATGATCTCCCCAGTATCGAGCGTGTACCTGAACATGATCTCCCCAGTATCGAGTGTGTACCTGAACATAATCTCCCCAGTATCGAGTGTGTACCTGAACATAATCTCCCCAGTATCGAGTGTGTACCTGAACATAATCTCCCCAGTATTCTGTGTGTACCTGAACATAATCTCCCCAGTATCCTGTGTGTACATGAACATCATGTGCCCAGTATCGAGTTTGTACCTGAACATGATCTCCCCAGTACCCTGTGTGTACCTGAACAGTATCGCCCCAGTACCGTATTTTGTACATGAAAATGATCTTGCCTGGATTGTGTGTGTACCTGAACATGATCTCCCCAGTATCGAGGGTGTACCTGAACATAATCTCCAACAGATCAAGTGTGTACCTGAACATGATCTCCCCAGTACCGTGTTTGAACCTGACAATGATCTACCCAGGATCGAGTGTCTACCTGAACATAATCTCCAACATATCAAGTGTGTACCTGAATATGATCACCCAGTACCGTATTTGAACCTGACAATGATCTCCCCAGTACCGTGTTTGAACCTAAAAATGATCTCCCCGGGATCGAGTGTGTGCCTGAACATAATCTCCAACAGATCAAGTGTGTACCTGAACATGATCTCCCCAGTATCGAGTATGTACCTGAACATAATCTCCCCAGTATCGAGTGTACACCTGAACATAATCTCCCCAGTATCGAGTGTGTACCTGAACATGATCTCCCCAGTATCGAGTGTGTACCTGAATATGATCTCCCCAGTATCGAGTGTGTACCTGAACATGATCTCCCCAGTATCGAGTGTGTACCTGAACATAATCTCCCCAGTATCCTGTGTGTACCTGAACATAATCTCCCCAGTATCGAGTGTGTACCTGAACATGATCTCCCCAGTATCGAGTGTGTACCTGAACATAATCTCCCCAGTATCCTGTGTGTACCTGAACATAATTTCCCCAGTATCGAGTGTGTACCTGAACATAATCTCCCCAGTATCGAGTGTGTACTTCAAATTGCGTCTTCCATCTTCGTGTGAAATATTACAGGATATAGTGTTCTATATACTTCTTGCGTATCTGGGTATCTCTGCCATGAGCTGATCAAACAATTACACCTACTACAGTTGAGTGACGCTGTGGCTTATATAAGTGTTAGCAGCAGGATATCAGCCGTATTCACCAAATCGCTATACAAATTGTTATTGCCATGTATTACTTACCGCGCCTCCAGCTACTAATGTCACCGGCAACTACCCAATATAACACAGATCTGGTTATTGATATTAAACCCGATGAAGTCTGAAACCGTCATTGAACCCTAGATTGACGATAAACATTGATTAATCATTGGTTATTAACAGAGAGACTCGGGTACTATAATCGAACATTAATATTGCATGATTCAATAGTACACTTAATGGTTTTATTAATATATAGTAATTGACATTCAGGTCTCGCTACGGTAGTTTACCTTAATCCAGTGTGGTAGTGTATTTGTTAGGCACCTTTCGTGACAAGTTGTCAGCACGTGACATCGGAGTTATCTCTTATCTGGATGCATATTCGTATACATTTCAATCAATGGTTGATTATAATCAGTTCAAATCACGTTATATTAGCATTGATTCATATCTATACAGGGTACACTACACCAAATCAGAATCCGCATTCATTAAGCACATTTCGTCCCGAACCTTCAGTGAAGACTGAAGCATCTGACAGCTGTGATAGGGTGATTTTGTGTAAGAGTTTTGTGGGATTTTTTAATGTTCATCCATCCAGTAATTAAAACTGACCATATTTTATTTTGAATATTTAGTGCTGTCTTTTTTACTGATGAATTATACTGCATGTGACCACATATATTTTCAAGCAGTTGACATTTTGTGCGGAACTGGGGTTGGTTTGTTTAGCTTCCTGTACCCGGAAAAGGAACTGATGAGGTGTTCATATTTTATATTTTTATTGTTTCATTAAGGCCAGACTGTGCACACATGTACATGAAATAGCTGTTGGTAACTTAGTTATATTAAACAAATATAACGTTACTATAGAAGCCAATGGGGAAATGTTTGGTTTTGTGTAACTATAACATTCTAAGCCAGAGAACACCAGTCTGGATTATATCCAGGAACAGATTCCATTGCCCGTAAAGGCAAACAAGAGGTGGACATTGTGTGAATGGATCGCCAACAATCGGTAATGACGTGTATACGTCACAGGTTTAGGGTGAGCATGTTACCGGTTATATCCACCACTCACAATTTGTATGAAACACGTGTGTTTGCAACATAATACCCAACCGCAGTGCCGATGTCAAACAATGGCGACATGTGAACACACCAGATAGTGAAGTGACAGATCCGAAATCCAGTCACTCTGAAAACACGAGGTCAGTGTCCAGGGGTGTAGCTACCATTATAAAAAAAGCGCGGGCTTACACATGATTGTTGCTAAAATGGTTGGGCAAGCCCTCAATACCATCTAGATACAAAGCTTTGCAACCTATCGGGCTTACACGAAAAATACTGGCTTGCTTCGCGCCTGGTGTCAGGAGACCGGAACCACCGCAGGTTTAGAGATTTTCACTGCAATGCTTCTCAGACAGTCGGAATCATACATCTGCTTTCAAAAACCATTTCATTTGATCAAATTTCCACGAGTTTATCAAACAGAACATATTTGTTAAAGTGACATCTCGTCCTGAAAGTTTGTTAAATGACCATTGAAACTCTCGTGAAAACGGGTGAAAAAGAACTGAGCAGCTCCCTTTCTCAAAAATCTGTATCTGCCCTTGGTTAGAATGGCCCTTGTCCCAAACCAATTGCTATTGTTGAACGATAGTCCTTTTCGAACGTTTTTAGACTAGTTATATACTTCCAGGCCCACCTGCCCGAATAAAGAAACCCAAACACATTGCCGTGTTTACTTATGGGCCGCGTCAGGCGCCATTTTAAATACATCATGTGACCATGACCTACGAACTACGCCAACAGATATTCAGTATACTCATTTCTTATTCATTTGGCATGAGTGATACTCCTGATCACATTTGCAGCTAGGTTTCTGCAAAGTATAACATGTGCCTCGAGAAGGGATCTCCAGGTGAAAACGTCTGTAAAAAGATGAATAAATCTCACCCAACCCAATTTACCAACATACAATATCCATTTTCATTGTGAAAGGTTCTTGCCATTTTTGAAGGTATCACGCTGGTATATCCCTAAATCATATTAATAACAGCAACTAAATATTTCCATAATCATACAATTCTCCTCTAAAAATATTTTTATTATCATTGTCGAGACCACTTGATGCCATCACTTATTGTCAGAGATCATAGCATATCCTTTTCACCGCTATTTTCACCGTGACACTCTGTGACACTCTGTGGAATCTCGGATTATCCAATCCGGTTGTTCTTAGAGGTGACGTTTCATATTTAAGAACCATTATCAATTAGTAATAATACCAGGATTTCGCGGAAAGGTCAAAACCTTTTTGATCATCATTTGTAATAATGTCACGTACTGTTTCCATCCCTTGGACATAATCCAATTTAATACAAGACTGCTGGTATATATATCTGGCTTCCCCGACAAATGATCCTATGTCGTGCTGCTTTGTTGGTTAGATAACGTTTACAATATTTGATATTTCCTTTGAAGTTATCGGGTCTTTGAAGCTGAAACTTTGGATGAAAACGTTGGTGTCTCTAAAACGTACCCGAAGAATTCATATCCCCTCACAACAATGCCGACCATATTCCAAATGACATATCTGGCTATTTTTAGGCCATTTTAATATGTATCAATGTAGAATGTTGCCGTATGGATGATATTGTCTTCGGGGTAGTGTTTTTTACGAGCTTTGAACTTCACGTACACCCACTTCTCTTGTTCCTGCATTTCAATACAACCAATCCAGCAAGATATATGGAGCTGTTGACGTTACACGATCTATCCCAGCAATTGTGTTTTTACAGTCCGATATTAAACACGGTGGTCACAATGAAATGTCACCATTACATGCATGTATCACTATGAAAACAGATGTGCAATTCGTGTGTGGTACATACATCTAATATGTATTTCAACATATTTAGTTTCATCAAGCTACGACCTAGAGAGGCTTTGAACTGAATGATTACATGAATGTTCGGGAAAGGGCATATTTGGCTTCTTTGGTTGTGTCACTATCAAAGTCTGTGATCGTGGAGACTAACAAAAACAACAACACCATGACGCCAGGTGATCCAGTCAGTGTGAGTGAGTGAGTGAGTGAGTTTAGTTTTACTCAGCAATATTCCAGCTATATAGTGGCGGTCCGTAAATAATCGAGTCTGGACCAGACAATCCAGTGATCAACAGCATGAACATCGATCTGCGCAATTGGGAATCGATGACATGTGTCAACCAAGTCAGCGAGCCTGACCACCCGATCCCGTTAGTCGCCTCTTACGACAAGCATGCTTACTGAAGATTAACATTCTAACCCAGATCTTCACGGGTAGATCCAGTCAGTGTACTTAGTAGTACAACGATAATGATAAAATACTCTTTAGCACAAGGGATCTATATATCTATATAAGTTATCTATATTGAAGAACAGTGAGTGGTCATGCAGCACCATTTCAGAAGGAGAATTACACAGGGGCGGATACAGCTTTTTGAGAAAGGGGGGGGGTGCACACTATTGAGAAAAGGAGGGGTGCACATTTCGTTTTCAACCGAGTTTCAATGGTCATTTAACAAACTTTCAGCACCAAAGGGGGGGGGGTGGGGTAGCGCACCCCTGCCGCCCCCCATCTGGATCCGCCTATGATTACAGGCTTGATAATTTCCTCAACGTGATTGAGGGTAAATCGGACAAAACCCTTTCCACTTCCATAAGAAATATCTGCTGAAACATAGTGATGACAGCAGGTGTTTGCAAGAATTGAAGGTATCCTGCCCCTCCGGTCCCACCCGTCATAAACAGATGCAGATTGAGGCTGGTCAGTTTGGTGCGTGTTGATTCCCCAGCTGAAACTAAACTTTCACCTGAATTCAGTCCGTAATTACAAAGATCTACAAATCACAAGGTATGCCAGTGGCAGTACAAAATGGCGTTGCCGTACAAATTCAAAGACAGTAAACTACAAAATCAGTGATTATAGCAATCAAGATCAGGGATGGTAATATTAGCCAGTCACCTTGTAACTTGAGATGTAATGTAAGATGAGAGGCAAGAGTTAACTCCCTTTATACCTAAGAAAACGATGCCAGAAAATTATCCAAATCCCTGACCAAGAGTATCCTATAGTGTGATAGTACTCTGTAGTACCTTCCAGAACTCGGTCTAAATACAGCACGAAGCATGACTCCGGTCACACTTGCATTTATATATTGTACGAAAAATGTTTCACTGGAAACCCGTGAGGGAGTGTTCGCCGCTGATTCACGTGTGCGACAATCGCTTTTGTAATTTCTTGATAGAAAACACATAGTTGACGTGAACCTCACATGGGTGTTCTGAAATTAACACTGACCAATCAGGAAACGTTTAGAAGATTTTATGCACACCTGCTTTTCATGATCATGTTTGAAATGTTCTAAAACGCTTTTTTTCTCAATCAACTTCCCAGCGTGCTTGTCACGTTTAACAACCTCCATTCCTTGTTCTCTACAAGATACTTCTTCCGGTGATGCTGAAGATCGTTACAATAAACTCAATCCACTGAAGGCACGTGTAGTGCGGTCGATTCAGAAATGGGTTACGCCATTCAGACAGACAGCATGTCAACTATCATGTAAATAGTCACGTGCAAAACGTGGTGTCAAGATAAGACGGCCCTTTGATTGACACTTTGTTTTCACAATAAACTGATTATCATTTACTGCACGGACTAATCGTGCTTTTGCATGTGTCTTTATTCATTCTGTCAACAGGATGGGCAGTTCATGCTGATCCGGATGTGTTTATAAATAGTTTTATGATATTAGTCTCCAGTGCAGTGATTTATTAGATCTTGTTAGCAAGAATGCACTAAGTATAATGAAATTGGTAGTGTCTTAGCGCTATCTGGTATCACTGTGAGGACACTAGAAATTGGCGAGAATGTCTAACATGATCATATAATAAGTATTGAGTGGAGAGTTTCCTATCTATGCAGTCATGCCAAGAAAGTTGAGAATAATTGATCGTCTTGTTGTTCTTCAATATATACATTTTTTTGCTGATAATATACACCTGTGCATTAATTAAGCACCACCCTATTTTGAAATTAAGATGTGATGCTACAGAAAAGTTAGGGTATAGCCATCAATTTAATCAACCTGTAGTTAAAGAAGCTTTATCCACTGACAGTTTTACAAATACCATAACCTATTCTATTCTTTATGATAGAATATGTTCATGAAAATGTGATGGGACTGAATTTTTACCCAAAATAACTATTCCTCTCCTGCTCAAATTACACAATTAAATTAGGTTTTGACTCAAAATAACAATTCTGTTATTTACCAAGATGACATTTACACATCAATTAAGCTTTAATTATGCATAATCAGGAAGAACCCGAATGTCAAAGATTCAGACCTTTTTCAAACAATTCAGATTGCTAATTGACAAAAACTGAAAAAGGCCATTAATAAGATTTTGGAATAATTTTTTTATGATTTTGAGTTTATTGTAATGTATCAACAATTCTCCTTGCCGGACACTGATAATCACAGCTAGAATATGTTTGTTTTGTTTGTAAAGCAACTTTTACTGCATTTCAAAATTTTCCTTTTTGTTTAGTTTGACTGTAACTTTTCCTAAATCTTAGTTTACAAACTTTCATTCATTCACCAAAACTAACGAATTTATAGGCCACACAACAATCAATTATTACTTTCACTTTTCAAAATAAGGTAACTTGTTTTAGAACAGAAAAACACCTGTTTTAAATATAGGCAATTATCCTCATTAAAATGTATTAGTAATTTCCATGATGTTTTCGTTTTTGAAATGTTAAGTGCTTGTTCTATCAAATTATAACGGTTATTTTTGGAAAGAGTTTAGAATTTAATTTCAGACAAAATTAATTGGTAAAAACATAGGGTGGTGCTTAATTTATGCACAGATGTATTTTTTTAATATATACTGTACGTATTGGGAGGTTTTCACGAGAGCTATGGGTTATTACATATCGTGAGAGAAATGATATTTTGTGTGAAAGAAGCAAATCACTGAGTTTTGATAACAGGGGCATGTAATAGTAGATTTTGGTATTAGATATTTAGATTTTGTGATACGATTAAGGAGACATGGCGAAATATGTCAGAATAACACCCACAAGCATGGTTCCATGCCGGTAAAACATGTATGTAGAAAAACATAGCGTTCACTAATTATATCAGTCCTAGTAATCATAGCAAGGATCATTGTTAGTCTGGTGTAAAGTAGAATACTTCCAAGGTCTGTTAATATTCATAACATATATACTACTCGAAAAGAGTTACGAAACATCCAATATTTAGAGAAGAAACAATTGTTGTTCTCTATCTTCATTTAGCAGCATAGGTGATGCTTTGAATTCTCCGTGCTGATTTTTTAACTTGTAGAACAAACTTGTCAAACAATGACTGTTTAAACCTTTTGTATGTAGCATAAGCGACATGGTGGACACAATTGATCACCATAGTTGAATATTGAAATATCTCTACCAGCCTTCGATAAACTTAACACCAAACCTCAAAAACGCAATCTGTTGCATGGATGGGTGTTCCGAGACAGGAAGCACGCGCGGTTCCACAACGGAGTTAGGCGTCCGTTACCACAAACGGTCAATACTCATCCAAGGATGGAATTGATGTACTATCCTTGCATGACAAGCGGGAAGTCGACCGTGAAAATCGGTAGGGGAAGGGGGGAAAAGGGATTGCATCAATAAATGACCTGTCTGTTGAATAAGGTAGCTTTCAGTTGATTACACCACACTAAATGTGAACTAACTACTTCCCTCACCACGAATCACGATTTACGAGAATTATTTCCCGTAGATATCTCCGTAGGAAAACTTATGTTCTCTCCCGGGAGCCGTACTTTACCCTATTTCATTAAGGTGCTTGTCCTATGTGAAGTTTTTATGTTCAGGAAATGTTTTGGAACTAATCAATTTAAGATCCAATTTCAGTTTCACCAAATCTGGGGTTAACATAACTGCCTTCAGCTGAAAAAGTCAGTAGATGAAAAGGAAAACGTAGCGTGCAAACAGTTTCGCAATAAAACCTATCTAAACGATGCCTGACTGGCCGGTTGGATCATTTCCCAATGCCGAGGCCGGAGACATACTTTTTTGTGGCTTAGCTGGAAGGAACTGAGTCGGGGAAATGGCGGATGTCCCATTGTGGCATATCATCATTGACACCGGCTCAGAGTCCTCATGGGGGAGAAGTCAAAAGACAAACCTACACAGCGTTGTTTTAAAACTTGTTATAATCTTGTCGATTAGAAATGCACAGAGTATTTCACAACAAATACTCTGTGAATGTGAAGATGTAAAATTTATTGAAACAAAACCAAATAATCTGATGGGAAAATTAAAAGTGATGGTCGGGTGGGGTGGGGTGGGCCACTGGATTCGGACACATAGTACACGCTGATCCTCATAGCTAATTACCACTGGCACCTGCGCAGAACGTAACATAGTTTACATGGCTATGTAAGGCAAGCTACTCTCATGGGCTTGCCATTTTCACGAGCACCTGGTGTCGTCACAGACTTCAGTGATCCGTTCATAAAATGTTCACCGCTATTTTGCCTTTTACCAATGAAACCTGTTTCGTCGGAAGATAAAGACTGGTTAGTTTTAGTTTTGTATTTCTGACACAATTAGCTTCCTTGACATCTTAATGAGGCGCGATGACGGATCATTATACGATTAATCAATAAAAAATATAAGTCCTTAACCTTTGTTATCTGAGCTCTTGCTGAATTAGACACGTCCCGGCTACTGTAATACATACCAGAATTAACTCTATGAAGTTCACAAGTCGATCGGACATCAAGCTGATTAATCACTGGAACAGCCTTTTAACGCGACGAAAGAACTGGGGCGTTGATAATGGTTAATTAATGGTTCAGGATTAGTATGATTTCGGTGCAAAAGCTTATCCAATAGAACGCTTACTTTCTAACAGGCGTTGTTAAACGATCAATCAAACGTTTATACCTAAATCCAGCTTGCCAATGTGAATTATGGGGAACCAATATAGCCCGATAGGCAAATATTCGAAAACTCTTTTTGTCACACGAGGCCTAATTATGTCATTTATGGAAAATAATAACAAGACCCTATCCACATTCATAAGAATATTTGGTAAAAGCCAGGTCGAGTGTACTATTCCGATGCTACAGGGTTGGCTGAACACGTACACACACACACACACACGCACACATGCACGCACGCACGCACACAAACATATCGTTGTTACTCGACCGTTACGTCATTAGCATTTAAATATATACCACAGGAAAGTAACTGATCAGCAGCTGAAACAAAAGTTCATTAAGATCGGTCTGTTGAGTCCAACAGCTGTATATCACGAAGCGCCCTTATCATTTCCAGAGCCGTAATGAATTACATAAATGTTTGACATTGACATCTTACCAGAAACGAAGGGGTGACAATACGTAACCATTATCTACAATTTGTACTATCAAATGTCCCCTATGCCCCGTGGAAGATTAATACTGTCAAGAATGTGTAGTCCACTGATGCTACCATTAATCCACTGACAGGAAATTAATCTACTTCCGTGTTCAATATCGATCATCATGGCTATTTTAGTGCCAAATATTTCCGGCTTCGTTCAATGGCTCGCTGCATTTGTCATTTGGACTCTCTCAGGGTTAAACAGACGTATGTTACAGCACACGCATGTGACACACCATAGACATGTGAAGAGATATAAATGCCTTCGAGATCTGCCGTAAATGTACACAAATTGACAAATGTATTATGGATGTAGACGAGGATCAATACTGGTCTGGTGTTAAATAAAATAACATATTATCACTGTCAAAAGGAATTGCATCAGACATCTTTTTAGTCATAAATTCGGAAATATCGCCCCTATGTCTATCATAAAATCTTTTTGAAAGCTAAAGTGATGCCTTTGATCTGTGAACCATGATTAAACAGCACACGACCAATGGATGAACAATGCTCTTTACAAGCTTTGCTTTATGATGATGCTCGGTTGTATTATCTCTACAAGCGTGAAATGTAGACACCAAAGGCTGGATCTGCAATCTGCATTATTCACCCCTCCTGTCCAGGGGCTCCTTTCACGAAGCAACCTTTACTAAGGTTAACCTTAACTCCCATTCTTTTACATTGAACTAAGGTTACTTTAGTGATTTTACGACCACCTTAGCGCTTTGTGAACGGAGGCCCAGGGCGGTTTCATTGGTCTATTTTGGGCTCTTCCATTTCAAATTCAGGTGGTTGGGCAAGCATTTGGAGAGAAATAGCTGTTGACCATTATTGAAAAATCAGTCAGTTCCTCTCCAATTTCCTATGTTGTGATTTTTTTTCAAACCGAGCAGAAAGTCCCATTCCAAAGCATAAAGGAACATATCACAAATAATTGGAACACAATTGGTGCCCATGGGGAAGATCACTCCTTTTCCGCATCTTTTATCCCAACATTTCACACAGATGCTATCACTGAGGAAGACCAGCATTTCACATGTTGTTTTCTAAGGAAGCTTCATGTACAATATGCTTTCTATTGTCAAACATAGGTGGGACAGACTGACTTTTGGGCAATATAGAGTACTGTGAAATCGTTTGAGATAAATATTCGTTGAACAACGTATACCTGTTCTCTAAAAAACTTGGTTGATTAGTTGGAAGAAGTTCGGGCACAGCCTTCACTGTTTGGCTCATGTATCCCGGTAGCATCTTTTTGCAGAGATTGCATGGAACCCGTATGTCACTGTTGACGAAATTAGCTTCATTTCTGGAGCAACAAATATGTGTTACATCCTTAACAAAGTAACTCAAGAATTGAAATAAGACACTGATTTGCCTCGGTGACAGTAATGTCACTGGCTGATATCACACACAGAAATAGTTGTTGACAGCCCAAGGAGAAACCCGCCAACTTAACACTTAGGAAACCTCCACTATCTAGCACTGCGGCAAAGAACGTCAGGTTGTTGAAGGTCTACTCAACTGTGGCCTTCAACTTCACTCACGACGGGCTTTGTGGCCTCGACTTTGCCACTCTTTTAAAAACCCTGGTGTCCATGATGAGTATATGTTTTGACGTATTGTATCCTTTTGTGGATGTCCTTTAGTTTTATAAAGACAGATACGAAAGACATCAAAATTTTAATTTCATATTAACCTGATTGAACTTGTTCTGTATCTTCAGGCCGCCTGTACTGTAACTCCACGTTTGATGGCTGGCTGTGCTTTGACTACACCCCGGCTGGGGAGACTGTCTACAAGCCGTGTCCGGTCAAGATCCAACCGGGTTTCAATCCTGAAGGTTTGTGTCTTTATTTTCCGCACTAATTTATATCCCAGCTATACGACGGTGGCCTTTCAGAAGTTAGCTGGAGCAGACAATCTGATGATTTGTATTAGTCATGATCCACACAATCAACCGACGTTCACAGTCCATTTAGTCGTGTTGTACGTCAGCATGGGTTGCCGGGGGCCCATTGTAACCTGCACTCCCTAGATATGTCATCACTGTGAGCGATAATACCACCCACAAGATGGTTCAAGGTCACAGAAGGTAGCTACCATCGAGCAAAGCCAACATGCCCTGTTCACTACCACTCGCTCGATTGATGAAACGTGAGTGATTGAGTTTAGTTTTACTCTGCATTTAGCCATATTCCAGCAATATCTCGGCGGGGAGCCAGAAATTGGCTTGACACATTGTGCCCATGCAGGGAATCCAATCCGGGTGTTTGGTTGACGTGCAAACCCTTTAGCCACTTAGCTACGACACCGACCCTATTGATGAAAATAACTCTCTTTTCATATAGTCATTTTTCTAGTATTAAAGTCAGTCGATGGTCGAAAAATATATAGACTGGGGTATTATTCAATATTCTACACATTTTATAGCTAAATCCGAAGAGCATTGGTACAAATTTAGGTTGACGTGATCGTAATAGTTCACGTAATAGCATCAGCTACATGTTGCAGCCGCCGAGCATGTGTGTATGATAACGAGGTATAGTTGGCATCTGGTATAACTACCATGTCTCGTTATCTGACACAAATGAACCACATGTACATTATAGTGCCCATGCATGCTGAATCGGAAATGAAGGATAATACTACCTAATGGGCATCAACGGCCTGTATGTGGGCTTAACTACAGATAGCTCTCCTTCCAGTTGTACTGTGTGTACTATAGGTTGCGTGGTCTTCGACGTCATCATACTTATGTCATACAAGAAGATTTAACTGTATTCACACACTGGATTGATAACCTGTGGCAACACCGACATTAGACACACACACGCACACATACACGCACGCACACACACAAAGGAGATCTTGCCTCCTAAGGGACCGTACACAATTTATGGCTAGTGTGTGTGTGTGTGTGTGTGTGTGGTGTGTGCGTGTGATGATGATTTTAAGGGGGGTCACCCATTTTGTTCTGTGGAGCTAGGGGGGTCAGCAATTTTGTACACACATACTAGGGGGGTTCAGCAATTTTGTACATAAATATATGTTCAAAATTATGCTTAGAAATTATGGGAAGGGGAGGGGGGTAATTCATTTTGTACATGACATGCAGGGGTCACTTATTTTGTACATACATTTTATAGGACATTTCACTACGCGCGGCCTCGATAAATGGGTGCCGGTGAGTTGAATTGGAAGGACTCGATATACGAACAAAATATTCCGTAAAATATCGTACGGAGGACACCGTGAATGCGTGGCGTGGAGAAATCAGAACGACGTGCCAGGCTAACCATGGCTCTTCAACAGCAGCGCATAAAACGCAGGCCATTTACGTCGATGCGGCAACACTCATCGGGGCATCTGAACGACATGACCATCGATGAAACGTTTTCCGGCAAACGTCATCACAGTGATCGGGATCAATCAATGGCTGTATAATGAACAAATTGGTATCGGACTGAACAGGCATTCTGGATGGGATGGAATTAACATATCATTATAACGCACGATGCTGAACGTCATGGGGCCAAAAGCAGGAACGAACAGTTGGTAAAACATCATACCGAAACACTCTGGGCGACCAGCGCTATGAACAGATATCTCGGTCGATACAAACGAAGAATGAACATTTGGGCAATTCGGGTTTCAATGATGTGATTCCATCATTTCATTCAAAGTATACCAACGGCAATGCTGCCGGGCTGGATAGAATTATCATCGCGTTCGCTGGTTTGGGGTATCGTTGTATGCCAGCCGGACATTTTAGAGTGACATCTCAATTTCGTCAGATTTAATAAACCATCGCCGGTTGGGTTCGGTCATATTATGATCGCAACAAGACCATGAATTGAATAAAATTTCATATGATGATAAGCGCATGAACGGTGAACGTTTGGCAGGCGGAACGCTGAGGGACGTGGGGCAGACGGTACGGCGAGAATCGTACCGGCTGGCGTTGAGAACTCGATCAGAACCGGTTGGTTAATGGTACTCGCCGAAATTTGGGCCGTTTGTTTGGATAATGAACGTTGTTTCATTTTGCGGCTGCCGCCGGGGCGCTCATCTGTTCCAGAACGTTGACCGACCATGACCGGATTCAGACACGTGGCGCTGATCGGCTGGTGTTCGAATCGTAGATGGTTTTCAAAGATGATGATCACTTCGTTTGCCGCTTGTGATAATTCGTAAAATATAGGACATAGTGAACTGCATTAGCCGCGATGGCGGGAGATGAACGGATATGGTGAACGTTCGCCCTTCGAATGACGACTGGTGGATAGTGGAATGGAATGATTTGCGGTGCGTTGCAACTGTCCATGCGACAGGCATGTTTCCGCCATTGCAATATGGTGGTGGCGAACGTGCGGATGGTTCAATACAAATAGATGAATCAGATGGCAGCGGAATGACCATGGAAGGACGGATATGGACCACTGAACAACGAACAATTGATCGCCGAAATCGTGCAGGATGTTCGTCATCAATCGTCACCGGAATGGTTTCAATGATATTCGGTGTTGATCGCAACGGATTCGATCGTATAAATGACAAATTCAGTTGTTGCGGGTATGGTACACTGGGATACGCGAAAGTTGGATAATCCATTTCTTCGCATAATTTCGATGCGATATCACTATTCATTCGAAACGGCTCTCATTTACCGAATCATTCATGGGATGGATGGTTGATGACGATTTTCTTTCTTCGCTTCGATATGAGTCCGAAATCAGAACCAGATGATTCAATGGCTGTCTTGTTTGATTTCATCGCATGATCCATCTTCGATGGTTTCAATAATTGTTGAAGAACATCGCGATGCCGGAGCGAATAATCCGACCATCCGATAAATATAACGATGAAGAATGATTTCATGGGTACCATCATTCGGTGCGAAAAAGGTTCAATTATGGGTTCTTTACGTACGGTCATCGCCATCGCGATATGCATGGGTAATAAATTACCGCATTCCGGACATCTAATGATGGATGGTATGAGTGTCGATATTTTCAATTCGATCCATTCGACGGACGTAGAACATGGTCTGTTCGGCAAATACGGCATTGTGGATTTCTGCTATTAACGATCTTCGTAAAACGACCATTGATGATCGACATGGTGGCAGCGATGGCCATCAGAATCATTCGATTCATGGCATCGATATGGAGGCGCTGGTTTCGGCGTTGTTTCAACAACACTTCGTTCGATAATGAGGATCAATAATATCGCATGGCGGCGACGGATCCAGCTGCGAGCATCGGGGATGGCAGGTTGAACCAACATAACCATGAAACCATGAACATATGCAATAGAACTCAGGAGATGAAATGAAATGATTCATCGATAAATCGCCGGATAATTGGGCAATGACGGTCGTGGCAAGAACTGGCGCAACGTCATTAACAAAATATTGCTTATCTCGATCGCCCCTTGCACTAAGCATATGTTGAACATCGATAATAACATCACCGTATATATTATCGCCATATTATCGAACGCAACATCACTTCAATAGCTGGCGCATGTTCATCGCCGCCGCATGCGATCCACTCGCAGCTGGATACGTTGATTTGGCTATAGTCCGAATTTTAACCGGATGGCGCTTCATAGAGTTTCTTCCGGTTTCTTCGGCCTGATGAGAAAAATAAGAGCGAGCATTTCACCGTGAGCGTCCCCTAAAGTCCCCCATGAAATGAATTTGTATATTTCTGTGATGTAAACAAACACTGCGCTGAACAAGCCTTACAAATGTCAGGCCAGTCTGACCACTGTCGTCATGGGAACACAACCGAGCGAGTCGGTGTAACACATTTGTACAACAATATTGCAAGGTCATGGTTAAGAATAGGGACAGCCGTGAAGTGAACAATGTTCTGAAGCAAAAAGATACAAATATGCTTGATTTCACTGCGCATTATTGGTGGGGGATTCTAAAGGCAGGCCGCGTGTTATTCAAGACCACTGACAGATTCTACATACGTTGTATATAGCCTCGTCACGCCTTGTTTATTCTGATTGACAAGGTTCAGGCACATATTAAAAGCTCTGACACAATTGACAGACTTAAAACCTGTTCTCAGTATGATACTTATAATCTCGGCTGTAAATATTCTCGTGTAAATTATAGATCTGTACACAGCGCTTTGAGCATGCCCACTGATGTGGAATAGGCACACTATAAATATGCAATTATTATTATTATATTATGCTTGATACCCAGCGTTCTCACGCACTTGCACCTGAAACCAAGGTGCTCAGTACCCTAATATTTTGCTCTGGGTTTTTTTCTCCACGTTTACACTTGGTTAGAAAAATACCCATGAAGGACCGTGTTAGAATATTGAACTTCAATAACCCATGCCTGTCGTAAGAGGCCACTATCGGGATCGGGTGGTCAGGCTCGCTGACTTGGTTGACACATGTCATCGGTTCCCAACTGCGCAGATCGATGCGCATGCTGTTGATCACTGGATTGTTTGGTCCAGACTCGATTATTTATAGCTAAGATACATAGCGTTCACTAACATGAACGCTCATGTTGTTGAACGCTATGCATCTTAGCTAGATTATTTACAGACCGCCGCCATATAGCTGGACTATTGCTGAGTGCGGCGTAAATCTAAACTCACTCGCTCACTCAGATGGTTCGTAAACTACTTTCTATCATTTGCTAGACTATGCAAAGGGAGATAACGCGTGCCTCGCATTCCTCTATCTCTCGCACGAAAGAGTCTCGATCTAAGCTCGGATCGGATCGTAAGATCGGGACCGGCTACGATCGGCCTAAGATCGGTTAGTGGAACGGGTGTAACTTTTAGCTAAGGCGATTGTAAAATT